TTGAGGGCTTTGACTTGCCGCATAATAATTTTCATGTTTATAATCATATGGTAAGTATTGTGTTACTTTGTTTTACTTCTGTTATATAGATCCATCATACAAATATATGAATGTGAAAATTATATTGTTATAAAAATGTACAATACGTAGTACTGGCTTTAAAATATAAATTATTCAGTTTGATTTAATATAGCTATTAGATTTTTGAATATAAAAAAGTCAACCTGAAGTCTGAAATTAAAATAATAATTACAATGTATCATATTATATTATAGTATAAAAATTRAATGGACACAAATTTAGCAAATAAATTATTATTCTGTATACCTATTTAAATTAAATAATAAATACTAAAAAAGTTTAAATTTTTTTTTAAGATTGAAACAAATCATATCACCTTTTCTTCATTATAGTCTTTTGATGTGCCAGGAATGGGTGAAATGTCTTTTTTTACACATTTACTAGGCGATTGATCATTATCATTATCATTGTTTTTTTTCTTTTTTTCAAAGTCATCTACTAATACAAGTTGTTGTAAAGCTTCTAATACAATTTGTCTATTTGTTTTGAGCATATTTAATTTGTGGGTAATAGCTAAACGTTTGTCCGGAACAACAGCCATCAGATTAAACCGTATATCACTATACTCAGCTGCTGCTCCAAGTCGATCACTTATCACTCTTCTAAACTTTTCAGTCCAATCTTCATCTTCAGCCCAAGGTCCATGGTCCATTGGATAAGGTTTCAGCCCGTCCAATTCATATAAATGACCATTTATGGGCACATAACTGACAAAGTGATACGCCTCTCCGGTAAACCGTCCAGTTGTTAACCCTGGTGTTTTATCCATACGTGGTCTACTTTTTGGCATAGCATGCGAATTGTGTGCTCGTGCTAATTCAGGAGTGTTTCCAATAGCCCATCCTTTATTTTCTGGATTCATACCTTTAGTGTGTTCCTTAAGATGTCCCAATGTCTCACCTAGATGTATATCTGAACAATTTAGCAAAATAGACAGCAGTGCATGAGTAGCACAACTATTAGGTATCATTTGCTGCGCAAAAAATATGCTGTTAATAGCATCATCATCTTTGACAAATATGTCTGTTTGGTCTACAATTTTTCTGCGGCTACGACGCTCTTCAATCCATCGGAACAAAAAAATAAAACCATAAACTGGACTGTCCAATGGTTTTTGAAGGTCATAAATTTCTTCTAACTGAACTCCTTTCACGCCAAAGTCTTCTAAAAGCAAAGTAAACAAACCAGGATCGCTTTCTAATTCCAACCATCCTTGGATGAGCCTATGTAGATCCACTGGCATTTTAACAAAGTTAACATAACAACATTTAAAGAATAGAATACTAGAACACTAAAATTTGAATTTTGAATTTCACAGAAATAATTTTTATCAACTATCATAAATCATCTATCATTTATCAAGTATACAAATCTTGATAAGACAGTTTATTCCATGAAACTGTAATCTAGGTTATGGTTTTAAATGTTAAAGTTCGTTATTTAAGAACAAGTAATGAAGACGTAACAACAAAAGAGTAATAAGTAAAATAATCAAATTTAAAAATAAGAATCATAACAATTTAATATTGTCATTTTGTCATGATAATATTGTAGGCTAATATTATTATTACCATGTTACTATTTTTTTCGTTGGGTTATTTATATTTTGTGACGACTGTCAACTTTTAACTTACGTTCCTTTTTTATCTGACAAGTGACGATTGACAAGAATATTGTTAATTTTTTAGTATCTAAAATGTGTGTAACTATTGCACATTTTAAAATGTCGATATTTAAAATTGGATTTTTATTTCTCACATTCGTATCTTTAATTCACTCACAATCGAACAGTAAGTATATTTATTTATAATTAGATTAATTTACTTTAGGTACCTATTATTTCAACGATGTATTATACAATAACTTTGCATTGCAAATAATTTAAATTTATTAATTTTTTTATCTATTTTTTTACTATCACTAGATAACGGCTAAAACAATGTAGCTATCTACATTTTATATCCAAAGCCAAGGTTAACTTTTGAAATAAAACTTTATTTTTAAATATTATATTGATTTCTAATTAAATGTAATAAAACATAGTATATTAGAAATAGAAAACATTTATAAACAATGTATGAACAGAACTAAAAATAATATGCCTTAAAAGGATCATCTTCATTATTTAGATTATGTATAATATGTTCTTCTCTTGATTTTGTTATATTTTTTCAAGCAATTTTGTATTATTTTAACATTTACCGATTTTAATTTCCTGGAAATATACTATGTCTTTATCCAAACCTTGAATCCAACTATTTGAACAATTAAAATAATAAGTCCTTAGATAATTATAGCGAGAAATCTTGTAAAATATTTGGGGGGAGGGCTTAAGTATTTGGTTAAAAAAATCTCGGGAGGCCTTACATCTACATCCTAATCTGTCTTGTCATATATTATTTRAATTTTCATTATGTTAACATGAACAGCTTAACTTAACAACATATTATATAAAATATTTATGTAACTAGAACTGAACATTTTTTAAGCTACTATCTAGGTACTTTAAATCATGGTGTAGTTCAAATTATAATTGTGAACTGTAGGTACATGTACTTACAWGAATTTCAAAATTTCAATTGAACATTTTATAGGTCTCTATCTATGTTAAAAGTGTTATGTATAAATATTACAACAATTCATTTTTATACAGCTTCAATGTTTGTATTTTTAATGTGTTTAAAGAAAAATCTATAGATTATTAGTTTTGGAGTTATGACAAAATAATTAAAATTAATTTCATAAATTGCAAACATACCGTTTTCATTTGATAAATCATTTAGAGAGGCTATTAAGCCCCCAGTCTCCCTTTATGCTACTAATTCATAGGTGTTTGACTGAATATGTATACATCTATCAAAAYATTTATATGTTAAATTATGTGAGTAACATGCGTTTTATGCCCATGATGATAATATTTTTATTTCAAAAAGTCATAATAGAAACAATATTTTTAAATCTATAACTGAATAAAAGTCATTAACTCTTGACAAGATTGAAAAAAAGTTTATATTGAAACTCGTTTGCCTTATAATTAGTGATTGGTCTTGAATTTACTATATTTAAATAAAAATAAACTAATAATAAATTGACATTTTTAGAAATTTAACACTTTACTTATGAATTATGATGATAAAAGACTAAATATAAGTATACTAATTATGATATATTATGATTCAATTTAAACAATAATTCTGCAGGTATAGTATATCCAATCAATGCAGAAGATACAAAAAATTGTTGTTCTTTACTGGAAAGACAATACTCATTACCTCCAATATATTGCTATGCAGGAAACGATAAAAGTTTACTTAATGTTTTTCAAACAATTACAGTAAGTACAATGTATATAATTATTCTTTGAAAATGTATGAATGAATATTATATAATTTATTATATAGGTAGATTTAATAATTGAAAAAACTGATGACTTCATTGTATACCAAGCAGCAGATCAGTATTTAGTTGAAGAACAAATGCTATCTGATGAGACTATATTATCTTTGAACAAAATAATATCCTATGTTTGGAAAAGGAAGTATTTTAAATTAGATCCATTTAAACCATCTTGTTTCAGTATAAAAACAAATGCAGATTTCAAAATAATAATTCACTCTATTGGTAAAAAGCCTTATATTTGTATATATTATTATATTAACTAGCTATACATTAGTGTTACAATATGTTAGCAAATATTAATCATAGATATACTTTTATATTTTTACAGCATTAGATATTAAAAGACTGGCAATGTTTATAGTTGGTATTTTTCTATTTGGATATTCTGCTCGATTAAGCCATAATTCATTGTTTTACTACTTATGTGGAATTACAGTAGGTGTAACTGCATCATTTGTGGTTATAATATTACTCATCAGTCGTTTAATCCCTAAGGTATATATTTTATAATTTCTGTGTTATAATATACWTATAATATAGTTTTATTAATTTTTTTATAGAAAAGATTGTTGGTGGGATATTTAGGAGCAAGTTGTATGTTAAGTCTCTATGCTATTCAGATGTTGGTAGAGAATCTCAATATGATATTAATATTATATTATAAGTATATATTGGGATATATTGTTTTCTCTATGTTAGCCAGTTTTGTGGTTTGCTATAGATATGGGCCAGTAACAAATCCAAGGTCCATCGACCTCATAAGATGGACATTGCAGGTAATTCTTGTATATATTTTTAATTGTACCTTAATATTATAAATTATTGGATTGACTAACTAAACAACTCATATAACTGTAAAAATATTCATATTTAATATTATGAACATAGCAATGACTTTTAATTTTTTTTTTTTTATTGATCGTTTACAACTTTGGCAACAAAGGCCATTAGTTATTTTATTTTTTACATTACGTTTGCATACATGTTTAGATTTGGTTATAAATATTGGTTTGTTTGAAGAAGTTAATTAAATCTGCGTTGAGTTGGTGATTGGCTCCAAGGGCTGCATCGAGGTTGTGTGATATCCCGTGTTTGATCCTTTCTTGATTATACTTTATGCAGTCCGATATGATGTGCTTGACAGTGAGATTTGTTCCGTAGGTTGTGCAGATGGGGGGTTCCTCTTTGGCCTTGAAGAAACCGTGTGTGATTCTAGTGTGTCCTATCCGTAGTCTATTTTTTAATTTTTTTATTCTTAGGCTTGAAGAAAAAGTGCTTCAATCTTAATTTTCAAAAGTAGGTTTTGGTAGCAAATTAAATTTGTTTTTAAATTTCTTGTACTTTTTTAATAATATCATATAACCCTTATTTTCAATTTACATTCAATTGTGTTTAATGTGAATTAACAATTTCTATTATTATGGAGTAATTAAAAAAAAAATTATGATAATAACTTGACAGATATTATCTTGAGTGTCTGAAAATCAATTTTTAATATAATTGGAAATCAAAAATATTAATAACAATTATTATCAGAGTATTTAGTATTTTATTATTATTCAAATAATGTTGTGATGTTACTCCACTATTAATTAATTATCATATTCTAAATAATGCAATTTTAGAAATATTTATATTAATTTACACTAGGTTATTTATAGATATTTTAAATTATTTTTTTTAGTTTAACAGCCAAAATTTTTACCATTGACTTCCTGTTA